GGGAAGCCTAGTCCGGGGAAAGGTCCCACCACAAGGATGTAGGCCTTCCCTTCCCTTGTCATTTTGACAAGAAGCAGCTACCAAGACTAGAACCCGTGACTTTAAATAAATTATGAAATCATCCTTCTACAGCCAAACATCATAATAGAGTCTGTAAGGGTCAGGGCACATCTGGATTCTACTATGTATAATTTCAGTTTACCTCATTTGTTTAAATGATAACAAGAACTTGGGTTTTTTGATGATTAGTTTCACCTTGGAGAACTTCTAATACCCTAGTTTAAGTAGGTTCAACAATGAAAGTTTGGGGGAGGGGGGTTAAATTTTCCTAATAAGTAATTTGTGTATGTTGACCTAACTTAACCTCTCTTGAAACAACTATTTACTAAGTTAATCAAGCTTAACATCTTTTTGTATTTTGGTTAAACTTATTAAGTTTCAACTACCTAGCACAAAAACACAAAAAGTGAAATTCGAGAAAAGCTATTTTTAAAAGATATAGGATACGAAATGTCTGAGAAAACGCATTAATATAAAAATATAGGGATATACAGAGGATTATCTCATACTTATGTATACACTTTTTCCAGCTAAACTTTGTTTTATAGATGATTACCAAAAGGAAGAGCAGTACAACAAGAGTTTGAAGTTTCCTTCTTCCCAAACTGCAGAGCTTCAAATCTATAGAAACACAATTTCTATGCTTCTTTAATTATCCAAACTCTATTTGTATATATGCAGCTAGATTCATTCATCCCTTCTAAATACGGAGTAATATAATTAGGCTCGTCTACTCATAAGCTCTATCCGAGCTCTATACAGTATATCCAAACGCTTTTATCCAAAGGGATCCTAAATGAAGAGGAACATATTCACAGAAGGTATGCGTGCTTAAGAACTTAATTGATTCAACAGAAAGAACAAAGAGTACGATAACTAAACCTTGTTTCGCCAAGGTTGTTATGGGAGTATCTCAGACCACGAAAAGGTTGTAAGCAATCGGAAGAGACACGAAAGTCGGCGGTGCTCCGGTGAAACTCCGGCTACTTTGGGTGTAGTGTATAAAAGAATGTTGTGTGAGTTGGAAGGAGTGTACCAATTCTCCATTCTTGTTCTGCAGCTGCATACATCTCCCATCTCCGCCCGCCGCTGCTCAATATATATACTCCTCCGATATATTAAGAACACGATTTTTTATTTGCGATATCATTCTTTCCATATTTTATTATTTTATCACATGTCTTAATTAGAAAAGTTGAAGTTTATCGTTGGAAAGGCTAGCCACTAGAGATGATGGTCGGTTAGATTGTGGGGCACATTTTGATGTTGCCTTGACTCCAACTCGCCTAATCAATATATACATATAAATGGACACTAAAATTTTAAATGGACTAAATTGGACACTATGATTACTTATGTGTCTCATATCGGATATTAAAGTTTCAAATTGATCGAATTTTACGTTTTTCTGATCATTTTCGGACACCCATCAAATATTTCACCTTGAAAGATATAAGTATTTCTTTTTCTCTTGGTTTTATGTACCTCAGAAATAAAAATAACTTAATTTGTGTATTTAGATTTAGAATATATATTTAGATGCTCCAATTAAGAAAATCTATTATAATGTACTCCCTCCGTCCCATAAAATAAGTCTCATTTCAATTTAGATCGGAGTTTAAGAAAGTAGGAATAAAGTGGAAATGTATGGTTGTGATTGAGTAAGAAAAAAGTAAATGAATGTTAGCCAAACAAAACTCTTCAAAAAGGAAAATGGATAGTGCATATACCGTATGACCGGTATACGGTGCTCATTGTATACCGGTACGGATTTATATTTTTTTTCCTTTTGTTTTTAAAAAATGGTAATAACTTTTTTATTTTTGATCCGATTTTTATAAAATTTATATCAACATTTTTTATTTTTCATGATCTTTCAAATGAGAGCAATATTGCCTATGTAATTTTAACATATTAACATTTGCGTGTAAAATATGTAACTTTACGTGTTAAAATATGTAACTCACGTTCAGTCAGGCCAAATGCAACTCGTGTGTATAAATATGTATCTCTACGTGTAACAATATGTAACTTTACGTAAAAAAATATGTAACTCGCGTTCAGACAGGTCAAATGCAACTCGTGTGTATAAATATGTAACTCGCGTGTATAAATATGTAACTTTACGTGTAAATATATGTAAGTCGCGTTCAGGCATGTCAAATGCAACTCTTGTTTATATATATGTAAATCACTTTTAAAAAAATGTAACTTGCTTATAAAAAGATGTAACTTGCTTATAAAAAGATATAACTTGCTTATAAAAAGATGTAACTCGCTCATAAAAAGATGTAATTCAATGTATTATCAAATTTAACTAAGGCCACTAATCCACTCCCAAACAGATTCAATCTTCTATTTCACAAACCTATCATCTCCCAAACAGATTCGATTTTCCTTATAATCCAACACTCATTAATATAATAGTTCGATAATTTCTTAAAATTACATAAGCAATATTGGTCTCATTTGAAAGATCATGAAAAATAAAAAAAGTTGATATAAATTTTATAAAAATCAGATCAAAAATAAAAAAGTTATTATCATTTTTTAACAACAAAAGCAAAAAAGGGGGGGCAAGCTGCGTCGTTTTGCAACCGGGCGCACCATCCTCATGGTGCGCCGGTTGCACGGTATAATTTTCCGGAAATGGAAACAATTTTTTGGTACGACCCAAAAAGGAAAGTGAGACTTATTTTATGGGACGGAGGGAGTAATTGAATTCTTTAATATTTTTAAATCAATTTAATAAATTGATATTTCTTAAAGTTCCATAAAAATCATATGAATGAAAAGTTCTAAATATATTTTTAAATTGTTAAATATAAGAAGTTATTAATTAAAACCAAACTATATATTCTAAAACTTCAAATTAAATATTCCAAAATTATATACGTAATTAAATTGGTTTACTTTCACCAAAAAGGAAAGAAAATCTAAGACTAACGTTTTTTATTAAAGGAAGATGAGAATCATACTTGAGTGTCCAAAACTACGAATTATGAAATTTCAATGTCCAATACGAGATACATATGTAACCATAGTGTTCAATTTGATATACTTAAAATCTTAGTGTCCAATATGAGATTCTCGTGAAACCATAGTGTCCAATTCGAGCCTTATTCCTACATATAAAAGAGGAACTTTTTAAGAGCATACAAAGTGTCACATAATCCTGCCATGTCATTATATATAACAATTATTTACTTATTTTTATACCTTTTGTTTTTATTAGATTCTATTTTTGATTGCATATTGATATGGAAACAAAAATCCCTATAAATCCACCTTAATTAATTTGGTAAGCTTCAAATAAGTAAAATAATTTTTGGTTATCAAAGTGAAATTCTAATAACGTTTATTGATATGGAAACTAATTTATATTAGTTTACTACATCGAATTAAATAGAAACAAATATGCAAATTAGTTTACTTATTAATTTGACACCTATTAATAAATTAGTAAGCTTCAAATAAGTAAATAATTAAAAATGAAATTAAAAATTATAACCAACATAAAGTATATATATTTTCACAAGTAAATATGTTTAGATTAGTCAAATAAGTAAATTTTTTTGGTTGTTTCTTTATTTTACACCTAAAAATCAAATATGCCTTCACTTTTGAAATAGATTCTTAATCCAAATTAGAAAATCTTTATAGGTTTACGAATTCCTACTTTTATTTTAATGGAATGTTTTTAAACCATATTAATGAGTAAACTGTAAGATCTAACAATTAAGAAATATAGAATTTTTTTATTATTGGGTTCATAACAATTATGTTTACTTGAGATGCTTATGTAGAAGACCAATTTAACTTTTTTTTCATATATTTTTTCATTTGTTTCACAAATGGAATATATTTCACATGTATTTTTCCTGATTCAGAAGATTCCACCTATTTAACCAGAATTCAATCAATTTCAGCAAAATAAGTTAATTCTATTTACTTTAGTATTATCAAATAGACTCTATATTAGACTAAGTTTATTTTTCTTTTAAATCACATTATATGTGATCCATTAAAAATTAAATTTCAAATTAGCTGAATTACATACTGCTCGTGCATCGCACGGGCTTGAAAGCTAGTACAGTAATACAAGGGGAAATCACATTTTATTTTAAATCCCTCGAACAGTATTTATATTGAGATTAATTATTGTGTTTTTATACTTGTAAATATCACCTCTGAATTGTTTGAATTAGTAGAATGTGCTTCTCACTATTTAATTGAACTAACACCTTTAACTTTTATAACTTTTTAAAAATCTGAGATTATAAGTTAAACCAAATCGATAATTTTTATCTAAAATTATGTCAGGAAAAAAATGTTGATCAAAATAACTATGTAGTTGAATGTGTACTTGGCAACTTGATTGAGTCCAAGTAGCTATTGGGACCAATTACTCGGATTTCTGGGTGATTACTCGGTCATTTATTAGTAAAACTTGAAAATATAATGCCCCAAAATTCTACGTATTAATATGTTAGTCTTGAAATTCTTAAATGTGAATAAAATAACAACAATTATAATGATCAAGTAGCAACAAATCCCAACAATGTTAAATGGGATTTTGATATACATATTACTAAGAATAGGTAATGAACAGGAAGTGACATTTTTCTTAATTTATAAAAAAATGGCTAATAAACACATTTTTCGCTAATTAATCCTTCCTAACTTTTCTTTCAATGTTTATTGGTAAATATAAAAAGCATTAGATGAATACACACAATTACATATAACTTTGTTCAAATAAAAAGCATTCTCCAGTACAAAATGGGAACCAATTTGAACCGTTAATTTGATAAAATAGAAGGATTAGAACAGTTTTAAAGCTGAAATATATGGTGGTGTTATTGCAAATAATTTTTTAAAAAGGGCACAATAAAAATGCACCACTTTATTTGAAAATTGCATCAATTTTTAATGGAAACACATCAATGCTTATATAAAATGTGTAGGAAAACATACATATGGGGATAATAAATTTACATGTACATGATACATATGATGTGCACAATCTTATATGTTTCACATTCTTTTATTTTTAAACCTGCGTATATATATGTATGTGTGTGATGGAGAGGGGTGTATATAGCCCAAATCAAATAAACCTTAATTATTAATCTCAAATATAATTTGATCTCCCTTCTCTTTCTCTGTGCCTCATATGGCGCTCTCCTCTTGTTGGGTGTAGTTATTTGAAGCCATACAAAACACAATAATGGGAGAGCCAGCAACGGAAGAGCCAAGCCGGCTGAGCACCGCAAGCCTATCATCATCACCTTCAAATCATACACCTTCTCCCCCACCACCATCGTCATCCCTTGTTGAGCCGTCCATCACTAAACGAAAAGGTAGGCCAGAAAAGGTCATCCGTGTAATGCGTTCTGTTTTCCGGTCATTCCCAATCATCACCCACCCCGTGTGCAAGTTCCCGTCAATACCCTACGGTGCAAGATTCCTCGACGGAAGCCGTGGTGGAGGAGGATCACGCGTGACGGGGACACTCTTCGGGTACAGAAAGGGGCGTGTTAGCCTCTCTATACAAGAAAGCCCCGGGACATTGCCAATGTTGGTGGTCGAGATGGCGATGCAGACTTATGCATTACAGAAGGAAATGAGCAATGGGATGGTAAGGATAGCAATGGAATGCGAGAAGCGGCCGACGGATAAGGATACAAAGATGTTGAAACTTCTGGAAGAACCGGTTTGGACAATGTTTTGTAATGGGAAAAAATTAGGGTACGGGAAGAAACGTGAGGCAACAGAGGAGGATTTAGGCATCATGGAGTCCTTGAAGGTTGTTTCAATGGGTGCTGGAGTTTTGCCAGGGAAACCATATGTCGATGGTCAAGACGGTGAGATCGCTTACGTTAGGGCACATTTTGATCGGACTGTGGGGTCCAAGGACTCTGAAACACTGTACATGATAAGTCCCGATGTGAATAACGGTCCAGAATTAAGTATTTTCTTTGTAAGGTTATGATATACTTGTAATGATGATGATGATGATAACACAATTAGATTATGTGTGTATGTTTTAAGACTACTTAGATTGATTTTAAAGGCACTGAGGCACTAAACATGAAGGTAAATACAATCAATGACATCTTGAAAAAGTATATATAGATTCATGCACCAACATAAAAGTTATTTTTAATCATTAATTACTTTTCTATACTTTGTTGAATTCATTTATAATGTTTTCCAATAATGAGTAAAACCATCTTTGAAATTTTTTATTCTTTTAAAATATTTTCTTTTATTTTAAAGGCACTGAGGCACTAAACATGAAGGTAAATACAATCAATGACATCTTGAAAAAGTATATATAGATTCATGCACCAACATAAAAGTTATTTTTAATCATTAATTACTTTTCTATACTTTGTTGAATTCATTTATAATGTTTTCCAATAATGAGTAAAACCATCTTTGAAATTTTTTATTCTTTTATTTTCTTATTAACATCAAGTTTATTTTAAGAGTTTCAACATGTTATCATTGCAGACAAAATTTGAATTAGCACTTCAATATATTCACACTTTACTTGTTCCCTCTATTGTTCTTTTTTGTTCTATAGGTCCACAAATCGATTATGTGAATATGAAATGTCATGAATTGGGGTTGAGCCACTCTATATGTTGATAATTTCAAGTTGAATCTGTTTGTTATTTTGTTGAATAAATGAAGTGTTTGATAATTAAATTCAGAGCTTCAACTCTTGAAGTAAGCACTTAAAATTTCTAAGAAATAAATCCGGGTGAATGACATGTTAATGTCAAAGTTAGACACTCAGAACCCGTTTGGTGATCTTGTTTTTCGATTTGTCAGGCTTATCAATCAATTTTTACACCAAACACGTAAGTTTTTATTTTCGTTCACTGAACTGTGTTGATGGAGTATATGGTCCAGGGACCCCCGGCCCACATACTTCCTCTACTACAATCAGGCCCAACAGGCCCAAACGGGCCAAGCCCAGCAAAATGGAGCTCTGAGTAGTCCACAATACGCAAAGAGGTGCCTTCGGCCCTATGGCCGAAGGCTATTAGTGACGGAATCGAGCTCAGAAACATCACAGGAGAACAAGGCTTGAAAACCAAGCCTTCGGCAACTGCAGCCCTCGACAGGTAGGAGCCCTCGGTTAGAAGAGGCATCACAGGAGAACAAGGCTTGAAAACCAAGCCTTCGGCACCTGTAGCCCTCGGCAGGTAGGAGCCCTCGGTTAGAAGAGGCATCACAGGAGAACAAGGCTTGAAAACCAAGCCTTCGGCACCTGTAGCCCTCGACAGGTAGGAGCCCTCGGTTAGAAGAGCCTTCGGCCTAGCACCCTTCAGCCGAAGGCATCCACCTCGACAGGATATCCTCTTCACATGCGCCTGGATCACCGTACCAAGTACAAACGTCACATCCAACCACCGCATTTAATGCGGCCACATGCGAGTGCCAGTGCCACCCCGGTCGAGGTGACCCCTCGACCACCAGAAAACTGACACGTGTCCTTATCTAGCATTTATTACTACTATAAATAGCACCCCTTTCCCCCCATTGTAAACCACGCTGAATACATATCGAATATACTCTCTCTCTCTTACTTATTTGCTCTGACTTCTCTATAGTTATTCTCCGCAATAACCCCTCGGATAAGCTACCCCCGGGTACACTATCCATCATTTGGTGCTCTCGTTGAGAGGTCGAACGATCAAGTAAGAAACCCTCCCCCTTCGCCAAACACTAGCCCTCTACCAAAATGGTGAGAACAACACGTGCCAACTCCAAAAACGTAGAAGACAAGAACCTGGCCCTCGGCGACGTCAACGCCCCCGAAGCCTCTCACAAGGCTCCCGAGGGCGGTGTCATCGCTGGGCTGGAACAGGCGGCTGTCGACCTACGCCTTCAGATCCAGCAGAATGCCCCCGATGACCAAGTCGTTGGTTCCTTTCCACCTTGGAGGGACCATCATACGAATGGTTCAATCGATTGCCCGAGGGCAGCATTGACTCTTGGCAAGATCTTGCCCAACGCTTCCTCGCCCATTTTGCCGGAAAGAAGCGCGTGAGAAAGCACTTCTCCCAGCTCCTCTCCGTCAAGCAACAGCCTGACGAAACACTTCGGTCCTTCATTGACCGGTGGATAAAGGAGACAGACGAGGTCGAGGGCACCGACGAGCGTACCCTCCTCGTCCTCTTCCAGGGGGTTCTCCGCAGCAGCCCCTACGCACGGAGCCTCATCACCGACCCCCCAAGATCATACCTCAGAGCACTCCAGCGGGGGAGCCTATACGCCGCCGACGACGACCTCCACTCCTTCAAGAAGAACGAGGGCCAGCCCTCGAAGAAGATAAACAACACGCCGGCCCCAAATGTGCCCTCGGCCGGAGGCCGAGACCATGAAAGCCACACCCAGCAGGGCCGTAACGAACGCCAATGGCGCCCTCGACTGGACATGCCGAGGACTCCCCTCACGCACCCGGTGAGCACTATCCTCAACTATGCGGAAGAGCAGGACCTTTTCCCCAAGGACCCTCGGTCGGCGAGGGAGATCTACGCCATCCACCAAGGCGGCACTTATTGCCGTTACCACAAAAGCACCTCCCACAATACAGACGATTGTGTCTCATTAAAGAAGGCTATTGAACTCTTAATTCAACGGGGTGAGCTCCACCAATTCATCAAAAATGCCCCAAGGAAAAACACCGGGGAGAACACCGATAAAGAAGAAGGGGACATCGCAACAAAGAAACATGAAATCGGGAGGCTCAGTGACGGAGAGGAGTTCGAGGAGCCCCAGCCGAAGAAGCGCCACCTCCGTTAATCATGTTCCTCACCTTCGGCGTTAGTCTCAACCTTGGGCCCTCGACCTCGAGGCACATTACCATCCCCTCGGCCTAGAGCGGTGAATCTTAACAAAGCCGTTGTCAAACAACGCACCCCTTGTATTCCGCTTATTTCTATGAATTTAAGTAAACTACAACACAATCCAGACATCTTATCGGCCCCTTCGAGGCCAAATGCCCAGGTATGGCCGATGGTTTCTAAAGACGAGGGGCCTGCAAAAGGCCCGCGTTTTTGGAGCGGGACACTCGCCGCATCGCCGGCGCGCAACGCACGGCGACAGGCCTGAAAGAATGGCTGAGGTGACGAAATCCCCAAACTTGGGGGTGAAACGGCAGTCGTCGGAAACCGACCAAGCCTAGCCCGCGCCGTAAATAGACGACGGGACCCCCCAAGGTCAAGGGACGGTTCAGCGCCGGGGGACTAACAGACGAACCCCCGGACGGATCACTTGGACCCCCTTCCGGCCGAGGCGGGGAAGCAACCCCCTCGGCCGAAGCCTAGAAGAAGGAACACACATCAGGAGGACTAACATACGACCTCCTGGCACAATCAAGGGACGGCCCAGCGCCGGGGGACTAACAAACGAACCCCCGGACGGATCACTTGGACCTCCTTTCGGCCGAGGCAGGGAATCAACCCCTCAGTCGATGCCTGAAAGAAGGAACATACACCCAGAGGACTCCTGGAACTATCAAGGAAAGGCCCTCGGCCTCAATTTGATTCTACATCACCAATGGCCCTCGGCCTTGGCATGATTCCACGTCACCAACGGCCCTCGGCCTCAGCGTGATCCCACATCACAATGGCCCTCGACCTCAACATCAGACGGCCCTCGGCCTCAACATCAACAACGGCCCTCGGCCTCGGCATCAGAACGGCCCTCGGCCTCAACATCAACAACGGCCCTCGGCCTCAGCGTGAGGACATCACAATGGCCCTCGGCCTCAACATCAGACGGCCCTCGGCCTCAACATGACTCTATGTCATAACGGTTTTGGCCTTAGCGTGATCTCACATCACCAACGGCCCTCGTCCTCAGCATGGTTCCACATCACAATGGCCCTCGGCCTCAACATCAGATGGCCCTCGGCCTCAACATCAACAACGGCCCTCGGCCTAAGCGTGAGGACATCACAATGGCCCTCGGCCTCAACATCAGACGGCCCTCGGCCTCAACATGACTCTATGTCATAACGGTTTTGGCCTTAGCGTGATCTCACATCACCAACGGCCCTCGGCCTCAGCATGGTTCCACATCACAATGGCCCTCAGCCTCAACATCAGACGGCCCTCGGCCTCAACATCAACAACGTCCCTCGACCTCAGCATCAGAACGGCCCTCGGTCTCAACATCAACAACGGCCCTCGGTCTCAAAATCAACAACGGCCCTCGGCCTCAACATCAGGACGACCCTCGGCCTCAACATCACCAACGGCCCTCGGCCTCAGCATGATTCCACATCACAATGACCCTCGGCCTCAACATCAGACGGCCCTCGGCCTCAACATCAACAACGTCCCTCGACCTCAGCATCAGAACGACCCTCGGCCTCAACAGCAATAACGGCCCTCGGCCTCAGCGTGAGGACATCACAATGGCCCTCGGCCTCAACATCAGACGGCCCTCGGCCTCAACATGACTCTATGTCATAACGGTCTTGGCCTTAGCGTGATCTCACATCACCAACGGCCCTCGGCCTCAGCGTGATTCCACATCACAACGGCCATCGGCCTTCATCCCTCCGACATCTTTATTTGATGTCGGGGGCTATCATAGAGGCCCATCGGCCTTCATCCCTCCGACATTTTTATTTGATGTCGGGGGCAATCACACAGGTCCCTCGGCCTTCATCCCTCCGACATCTTTATTTGATGTCAGGGGCTATCATACATGCCCATCAGCCTTCATCCCCCCGGCATCTTTATTTGATGTTGGGGGCAATCACACAGGTCCCTCGGCCTTCACCCCTTCGACATCTTTATTTGATGCCAGACGCTATCATACAGGCCCATCGGCCTTCATCCCTCCGACATCTTTATTTGATGTCGAGGGCCATCACACAGGCCATCGGCCTTCAGCCCTCCGGCGTCTTTATT